TGCAATAATGAGACCCCGCTCATATAAAAGTAATGGCCCGACATACGTTATACGTTTGCGCAGACCTTTTCCTTTTCCCTCTGCTAAAGGAGGATTATTTCAAAGATAAATTAGCCCGTCGGCAAAAAATCTCAATACAGTAGCGATCGCTCAAGCTCGACCGACATCAATCAGCTGACACATGCACACATAGGCGAGTGAAAGTAAATTATTTTGCTTTGTGTGTAAATTGAAATTTTATTTAATCTCCAATCTCTGATGTGAGTGCGTCGATCGAAGTAGCGCACAATCACATTCTTTGTCGCCACCGATTGTATAATTACCCGCGTGGCAGATCATGCGTAAAATTAAGTAGGCCATGCCACACTGTATTATGCTCACTTCTTCTTCCGGATTATCTTTCTGTCGGAAGTGTACTCGGGCGCGCGCAGGCGGCGAATGTAAATTGATGACTCGGCTGAATTTTTTTCCCAACCGTGTGCAGCGCATCGATTTTACGTCAGCCTCAGCGCGGCACAATAAGAAAGGAAAAAGGTAAATGATGAGCTGCAAAGCGGCCAAATTATTTTATAAACGCCGCAGACTGCGCTGGCTGGAGAACCGCCGCCGTCGCTTATCGAGCGGAATTAGACGGTGCTGGCGCCGACGGAGGGAGCAGGAAGAGAGCAAACTTGGATTTGAAATGAAGAAGGGTTGAAACTTATTTGCTCTTTTAATTTATTTATATTTATTGATATCTTTGGCGAAAAATTTATTTTCAGTCACTTTGAAATAAATTTTAATTAAATATTATATGAATCTTTAAGATTAATTGATATCATAGATTTAGATTTTTTCAAAATTATTTTCGTTATAATAAGATATGCCAAGGCTAACTTCGCTGCCTTCTTTTTCAGGGTGACACGTTTTGGAAAAAATGAGAACGTGGACAAACAACAGTTTTTCTGTGCGTCACAACTTTTAATTAGGAAAAAAATGCGGGTGGGCCCCTGTTGCAAAGAGCACTTAAAAAAACAGAAACACATGTCAAAACAAAAGAAATCATTATCATCCTCTAAACTGTCAACGATTATCTTTCTTACTCATGCTTTGTGCTAGTAGGACTATGACGTACTTCTTCAAAAGCAAAAATTATGTTGAATTGTTGGAAATAATATGATATAATTGTTTACCACTGAGCAACTATTTTTTTTTAATTGATTGTTACATATCACATTTAGCTGAACAGAAGATGACTCGTGAATTTTGTTCCCCAATTCATGTCGCACATTTAAATTTACAATTAGACAAGATGCATCTGATTTACTGAAGGAAAAAACTGGTTATTCAAAATATATAAATCTTATGTTTTAAGATATATTAAGAAAATATCTAAATTAAATTTAAGCCTTTTATTATATTTAAATTATTTAATAAGGAAAAGTGATTACAATCCCCCTTAAACTTTATATTTATTCTGCATCAAGTAGTCAAGTTTTGATAAAAAAAAAAAAAATCGCACTTACTAAAATTTGACAGTAAGTGTCGATTAATTATTTATTGCATTGTAGCGTTTGCAATTGATCTGGAGCGTGTAAAGAATGCGTATAAAAAAAACTCATTTTTTCTTCTATCACTCTGCTCTGCTCTGTTTCCATTCCCAAGTGTGGCCCTTACTAAAAGTGTTTTACTTGAATCCATCTATCTTTCTCTCCACTAGTTTGCTCCTGCAGGAAAAGCGGAGCCGGTCACGTCTGGCAGATTAAAATTTAATTAGAACGCGTGTAAACAAAAGCTGACCCGCGGGTCGCGCGCCGCTCTCAGGTAACGCAATTTGCTCCATATTTTTGAATCGCGCAGCCGGGGTGAAAGGGTTATCAAATATCCAGCATAATATTATATAATGTATACGCGAGTGGATTTACGAGCCGAATGGAAATTAATTAGAACGCATGCCGGCGGTCTCCACATTCATACCTTTGATTAAAATCGCTCGAATCAAGGCCGCTTGAAATCAAAACCACCAACAGAATTTTTTTAGAACTTGCTATTATATTTTCGCAGTTGTGCAATTGCAATAAAAGAGGCAATTAATTTTTGAGATCAAACTATTATTCTGAATATGAAATACCTGCATAGAGCAATTAAATTTACATTTCTATTCTAGTATAATAAACGATTATCAAGTCATTTTAAACTGAAGGGAACCTTTTTTTTGATAATTTACTTAGTTGCAAAAGAAATTTGCTTTACAGTAGATACAATCAACTTTAGGCTACCAGTACAAAGAATTGCTTTCGTACTTTGCCATTTCTTCTGGCGTCACTGTTCGATTATTAATGCCAGTGTTCTTAAACACTTCAGGTTTAGTGCTTTTTGACAAACAACCTGTAATAATATCGTAACACAAAATGAAATAAATAGTAGAATTAATATGAACAGTGCTTAATATTTACCTTTAGAGTTGAGAGGCCAAGGAGAAAAAAAGTGCCCAAACACTCATTTTAAGAGTGAAAACTTGTCCACGTTTTAAAAACGTGAGCTTATTTTTTTTTGCTACCTGGGTCCCTTTTATAATGATTAAAAAGAAAAAGGGGCTCCTTGTTATTTTTTATCATTATAATAACGTATAATAATGTCACTTTTAAAAACTTTGGCGCAAAAGAAAACAGCATTATCATTTAATTATTCAGCACCAACGCCATATCTTTTTCCCTTTTTAATGAGCTTTTGGCTTTTAATTGCACTGCTTTCTAGGTGAGAAAAGAATAACCGACAGTAATTTTCGATTTCACTTTTTTTAATTCCTTTCATCGAATACACAACATTTTTATATCGGTAAGAGAAAAACACGCAAGGAACAATCCATTTTCTTAAATATTTTGTGTTTATTAAATTGAAAAATAAATTTCAAAATGTAATTTTACCTGATGTTTTTTTAAACTAACTAACAAAAAAAATGTATCATTATTGTATTATTGTATCTTAATTAATGTTGTACACCTACGGTGTATAATAAATACTTCATTTATTCACTATTTCATTGGTTCAATATATTATTTCATAAAAAAATAAACAAGATTTCATTGATCAGCTTTATTTGCTAATTCCGGAATTTCTCACATGCACAGAAATCAAGTTAAAATTTTGATTCCAGTGTTTTTGGAAATCCATCCCAAAAAGCTGGTGACTCTGGTGTAAGTTGAGATGTAGTTGACACAGAGCTCTGGACCACCAGAGACGATTCCGATCACAGTGTACTTTTTATCTGGCATCAAAATGGTCAAAGCACCACCGCTATCGCCCTGCAGAGTTCAAAAAATGAAATTTCTTATATTATTTCTCCGTTTTGTAAAATCTCACAAAGCATGCTGATTTTGTGGCGTCAGGTCCCGTGCAAAGAACAGAGTTGAAAACATACTCAGGTGCAAAGAGTCGCGCACATACATTGTTGGTAATCGTTTGCATGGTAACGTACATCAAGTATCTGCTGGAGTCGCCATCTTTCAAATTCCATGTGAGTAAGAACAAAATTTACTATTTAATTCAAGTTACTATCTGCGGTTTGTCCGTAGCCAGAGAGTACAACATTATCCAAGTTTTCAAATTTGTTTGCCCCGTCTGAGTAACGCGGCAGGCGAATAAGATTCACATCTTCACCTTTTTTGGAAATGGGAATTTTTAAAAATAGAACATCGTCATCAATTATTATTTGACATACTTAGATAGAATTTAACTTTTACCAGACCAATATCGTTATGACTAGTTTCTGGATCGTAATTTTCGTGTGCCATCGCAATTTTTGTCAGGTATGTTTGTTTGCCTTTTTCACGATCGTTCAATTGATCTACTCCTCCTGCAGCAATAAAAAAACTCGTTCCCCTAATTTACATGTGTTTAGTGCTAGCACTGCTGGCCCATAATGGGATAGTCTTATTTACATTCAATTTCATTTACTAAATTATCCATTTTCAATGCAAGTAATTTATGAATTTTCTCACCCGTCGATGCAATGTGCCGCAGTCAAGACCCATTGGATGGAAATAAGAGAACCTCCACACAACCAACTTTGGTCACCGATGAGCAAAATTTGCCATGGAAATTGTTTTGGTTTTGCTTTCAATCCACCAGTTATTTGCGATGTAACATTTGAAGGTTTCACAAAGCTTATTCCGGCGGAAACTAATAGTTATTTTAAATCAATGTATCTAAATTCTAAAATATTTTACATGGTTGGGCATTCTTTGCTTTACGGTAGATGAAATCGACTTTGGGCTGCCAGTAAGTAGGATCGTTTTCATACTTCGCAAATTCCTCTGGTGTCACAGTTCGATTATTAATGCCAGTATTTTTATACTTCAGGCCTTTCGCTTTTTGACAATCAACCTTTAATAAGGTTGTATTAAATTTTAAATAAACAGGAACACGGCTTCATGTTTACCTTTAAAATCGAGATGCCAAGGAGAAAAAGAAGTGTCCAAACCTTCATTTTCAGGCTGAAACGTACTCAACGACCTCAGAACGTGAACTTATTTTGTTTGCTGCATTTTTTTGTCCCTTTTATAATGTGAAAAAAGGTAGAGGGGCCTCTTGTTTGTTTTTATCATTTAAATAATAATATATTGTAATGTCCCCTTTAAAAACCCAAGCGCAAAACAAAACAGTTTTATCATTTAATTATCCAGCACCAACGCCTTATCTTTTCTCCCTTGTTTAATGAGTTTCTAGTTTTTAATTGCACTGCTTTTCTAAGTGGGAAATAATTAACCGACAATAATTTTCATCTACACTTTTTTTTAAAATCTCTTTCAATCACATTTTTATATGTTAAGAGAAAACACGAAGAGAGCAATTGATATTACTAAATATTTAGTGTGCTCAAATCAAGTTTTGCCTTTAGAAAAAAAATTAAGTATTTTTACCTGACTTTTAAATGGTTTATTTCACAAAAACCAGCATAAATAATTCAGTTATCAGCTTTATTTTTGCTTTTATTTTTATATTTCTCACATTCAAAGAAATCACGTTAAAATTTTGATTCCAGTGTTTCTGGAAATCCATCCCAAAAAGCTGGTCACTCTGGTGTAAGTAGAGATGAAGTTGACGCAGTTCTCTGGACCAGTGGACACGATTCCGATCAAGGTGTACTTTTTATCTGGCATCAAAATGGTCAAAGCATTGCCGCTATCGCCCTGCAGAGTTCAAATGATGAAATTTCTTATTATTTCCAATTCATTGATATCTTACAACACATGGTGATTTTGTGGCGTCGGGTCCTGTGCAAAGAACTGAGTTGGGCACATACTCTGGTGCAAAGAGTCGTGCGCACACATTGTTGGTAATCGTTTGCAAGTAAACGTACATCAAATACCTACTGGTGGCACCAGCTTTAAAGTATTCTTGTAAAAAAGAAGTAATAAAATTTATTTTAAGTTACTATCTGCGGTTCGTCCATAGCCAGAGAGTAAAACATTGTCCAAGTTTTCAAATTTATTAGCCCCGTCTGAAAATTGTGGCAGGCGGATTACGTTCACATCGGCACCTTTTTGGGAAATTCAAATGTTTTAAAATTAAACAAAGTCATGAGTCATTACATACTTAGATAGAATTTAACTTTGACCAGACCAATATCGTTATGAGCAGTTTCTGGATCAAAATTTTCATGCAGGATCGAAATTTTTGTCTCGTATGTTTGTTTGCCTTTCTCGCGATCGTTCAATTGATCAATTCCTCCTGCGGCAACAAAGAAGCTCAAACCCCTAATTTGTATTGTTTTGTTTCAATGGATTAGTTCAATAATTTAAAAAGTTTCTCACCCGTTGATACAATGCGCTGCAGCAAGGACCCATTCAGTGGAAATAAGAGTACCTCCGCACAACCGACTTTGGTCCACGATCAGCAGAATCTGCCATGGAAATTGTTTTGGTTTCGCCTTCATCCCGCCGGTTATTTGAGTTGCAGCGTTTGAATTTGAAGGCTTCAAAAAGCTTATTCCGGCACTATCTGTTGGTTCAAATAAATTTAAAATAAATTCGATGATATAATATTGAGAAATATCTTACAAGGTTGGGCTTTCTTTGCTTTACGGTAGATATAATCAACTTTGGGCTGCCAGTAAGAAGGGTCGCTTTCGTACTTCGCCATTTCTTCGGGTGTCACTGTTCGATTTTTAATGCCAGTGTCCTTAAACTTCAGATTTTCTGCCCTTTGACAATCAACCTAAAACATAATCGGATTTAAAAATTAAATAAAATGTTGAATAAAAATGAACACGATTTATACCTTCAAAATTGAAAGACCAAGGAGAAAAAGGAGTTTCCAATAAGCCTTCATTTTAAGAGGGAAATGTTTTCGACAGTTTTTAAACGCGAACTAAATTAATTTTGTTGCAGACCGCTTTTATAGGAATAAAACTGTTAAAGGGGCCCCTCTTGTTTGTTATCATCATTTTGTTCCACAATATTATAAACTAAATTAAAAAAAATGGAAGTGCAATTAAATAAAAAACTTTTATCACTTATAATTGCCGGTCTCCAACGCAATAATTCTTCTCCATTGTAAAGTGCTTCATTTTTAATTGCGCTTTCTAAGTTGAAGAATAATTAACTGATAACAATGTACGTCACATTTTTTATATTTCAACAAACTTGAGCCTAAATTTTGAGGGCGGAGATATCAGATTTCAGTTTTCTTTTTAATTGAATCAATTTGTAAAAGATTTCCTGAATTTTATTTATTAAATTCATAATTTAAAATCGATGCATCAGCCAAATCACTTTACCTTGAGAAATTTGTGACTGAATTTTATGCATTAAGTTATTGCCTCATGGCTTAGGAATATTGACTAGTTGCTTTAAAATTTTTGCTGTTGTTATTTTCAAAAGTACCAGCCATTTGAACATCTGAGCACTTTGACGTTTTTGTGAATACTCCTATGAAAGTAGAGAAGAGTTTACTTAAATGAAAGTTCATAATGTATTCCAATAGAGTTCAGATATTTTGATTTTGCTTAAATTGATCCAATCGATCAACAACCAGTATTAATAGTAAGAGATTTAAAAAAATATATATAAAAAGATTAAAAAATGAAATAATCGTTTCAAATTTATCTGTAAATTCGAGAGTTCAAAGAGACAAGTAAATTTCTTTTTCAGAGTGAAATGTATTCAATTAAATGAGAACGTGGAGCAATTGTATAGGCACGGTTATTCTGTGCGTCATACCTTAATCAGAGAAATAAATAACGCGAGCCACTAAGAGTTTTTTCATGACGCAATAAATTTTGAATGCCACTTAAAAAAATAAACCGGAAGCAAAATACAAAGTAAAATTATCACTCAACGTTGCACTATCGCTTCAACTCACGTCACACGTGCGTACACGTGCGCATTTCTATTTGTTGGACTTCTACGCACTAAAAAATTAATTAAATAGCTTAATAGCTCAATATTTTAACAGGTTTTGTCACAATTAGTAATTAATTAATTAAGGTATTTAATTTATTAAAAATTTCAGTTTTTAATGAGAAATTATTTACAGGTTTAAGTTTTAGCATCCAAAATATTTACGATTTTTTTAAAATAATATTTGCAATTTTGAAAGCAACGCATAAATCAGGAAGCTCTTCACCTTCATAAAGAAGAGAAAATTTTATATCGAAAATGTTCTTAAGGAATTCAATAACAACTCCATTGTAATGAATATATTTATTTTTCTCTTTTACATTTAGTGTCGAATTTATTATTAAGAATATTGCTTGTGTTGTATTTTCCTCACGCTTTTTAAACAAATTGATTAAAATTATTCATTTTAGTCAACATAATTGATCATAGCAACAACTTTGTAATATTTAAAAGTAATTTCGTAAATAATTGCTCTTTAATTGGGTTAGTTAGTTTACAGAGGGAATAATCAAAGAGCACAGAGTGAGCAATAACAATAACATTTCACCCTTTCTCAACTGCTATGTAAACAAACGCATCTCTTTCTCTCAGAGTTTAGGGCGCAAGGAGACGATTCATCTGGGAAATTGCGTTGCAGGCGGGCCTCGGTTCATAGGCGCGTGGCTTCTTTTTTGTCTCCTCTTTTCCGCTTTGCCGGCCGACCGAGTTTCTCACTCACTGCTCATCGTCCTCGGCAAACACAATCAACTTGAGTGAATGAATGAGCAAAGTTAGTTGCACTCCGACGCAAAAGCCGGGGTCTGTGTTGTCGGTGTGTAAGCACAAAGTGTGCGGCTGCATTTCGCGAAATTGGAGGCGCAGCTAGGCAAAGATGGAGGAGCAAATAAGCAAATATTGCTTGTGTTGGCGGCGGCTCTGGATGTTAAATATAACGAGCTCGCTGAATCGAGAGAGAACGTTTCGAGAGAGCGAACGCGGCAACAACATAATTTAGACTGCGCCAGGCCAAGAAAGCTAGGGGTGCTGCAACAGAATGGCAGAAAACGCGCGATCCTTGATATTATTATATATACTGCTGAGAAGGCAACAGTGTGCGTTTCCCGGCGGAAAAATAATTGGGACCAAAATGCTCACTGCAAATTGGCAAAAAATCGAGTTTCTCGACAGAATTGTATAATAATGACCTGAATAAAGGGAAATTAAGGTGGAATAAAATTTCAAGCACACAGCCACCACACAAATTTTTATAAATTTTTATAAAAGATAAAAATTTAAAGTATTAAATTTAATACAGTCTCTGATATTTGAATTGCCTCTGATTGAGCTATTTTTATTTAATTTATTCTCAAAGAGGCAAAAAAATGATGGAAAAGTAGAAAATCAAAACAAGAAATTATAAGTTATACGGCCAAAGCGTAATTAAATACCAGAGTTTGCTAAGTTTATTTCTGCTTCTTCCTTTTTCTGTATTTTTTAACCTGCCATTCGATTCTTTCATGTCAATTTAGCTTTAATGTTTAATCTTCAGAATTTCGAATAATTTACTTACATTCTGCTTCAATTTAATTCCCTTTACTTTACATGTCTGCAAAGTTTCCGACTAAAATAAAGATTTTTGCTCATTCATAGGACATGTTAAAACAAAGACAAATTAAAAGCCAGTACTATTGACCTGCCCTAGTATTGCCGAATAAAACATTATATGTCTGGTTTATTATTATTAACAATTAAAAAAAAAGTATATAACTACGAAAAAAGAGTACTTATATTGAATTAATATTTGTCCTAATTTAAAACTTGGTGAAAAGTAACATAAGGCACAAAGTAAAAATAAAAAATGTGGACAATCTACAACTTTACGCAGATTTTTGTTGTATCATCTGACAGCAGATTACATGGACCATCAGATAGAAGCAGCTTTTTCCCCAAAACACCTTTATTTCTGTTGTGTGTCTTGCGTGTGTTATTCCGGAGCCGCGTAATCCGAGCAGACACCTAACACTTTTCGCGCACTAACTAGAGAGAGAGAAAGAGCCATGTGGCGAAAACAAAGCGCATCAAAAGAGGCGGAAATGTGCGAACTTTGAACAAAGCGGCGGGTGCAGTGTGTAGTGTGTAGAGTTGCGAGGGACGACTCAACTTAATTAGAGTCAGCCAACTACACTTCACTTACTTTTCTTTCCACTACCAGCAGCAGACAAATCAAAATCCACGTTTCGCAGGGAGTTTTGTTATTAACTGCCGCCACCGCGCGCAAAACTTTCCGACGGCGAACAATCAGCGGCGGAAGAGAAGAAGACAGACTAGAGTGGATGAGAGAGCGGCTCTTGTGTGCTAAAACTCTGGAGTTGCAATGAGAGAGACTTGATTAAAATTAAAAAAAAGAGGAAAAAGCAAGAAAAGGAATATAGGGGGAGATTTGCGGCGAGGTCTCTTTGTCGAGTTTCACAATTAGTTAAGCGTGTTAAAGATGAAAATAAGACTGGCATAAAATTCCTCCTATTGTATTATTCTTCATAAATTCTTCTAAACAAACTTTGTTTTTGCATTTTTGCTCCACTCTGCACCAACACAACTCGTACAATTCAAATAAGTCTTCAATTCCAGACGAACATAAGAAGGTTGTTAAAAAAATCACTTTTTATGTTTCTGTTCTGTAAGTTTAGAAAATTATCTTTATATTCAAAAATAAAAATTGATTAAGCAAATTGCTCCCAAAGTTTCCCGAGCGCTAGTTTTTACCTGAAATTTACTTTGGACATCAATACACATTTAAGTATAGACTAGACTTATCAGTTTTTTTAAGCTCAAAACTAATATGTAATATTTTTGTTCATTTGTTAGAAATTAAATTTATTATTGACTTTTCACTTGTAAAAAATGTTTATCTGATTATATACTATGGATTTTAGTATTTAATAGTAAATTGTAATTTATTTTTATATAATTTATGATTCCCACTAAATTCTATCCCATTTAATATTTTTTACATACATTTTTGGATAAATTTTCACAAGCACACTTCTATAATAACATGTTTATGAAATTAAAATTTAAATGACTTTCACTTCAATTGTAATCTACCTTGTAAATAAACTTCTTTAAACAAAAATTTTATTATTTCCAGCAAATTTCCTGGAGCTTCACAAATTTGTTTATGGTTGGACAAAAATTATGACACAAATATTTATAATTTAACTTCTTCATTTTTTGTTTAAAAAAAAAAAATCAAGCGTCCCACTTTTAAAACGTGGCTACTTTGCCACTTGAGTTTGGCTTGGTCTGGAGTCGGCTCTGCCAATCTATTTGATGACCTGACTGTCTATGTCTCCCGAGTCCAAGACAGAATTGGCCGGAGCATACATAGTCACCAAGTTGCATCTGCCGTCTCTCGAGCGACTTGCTTGTGCAAACAAGCAGGGGGAACTTTGACCTTAATTAGTCGAGGAGCACTTCTTGGGCAGCGATCCAGTAGAAGCACCTCCCTTGCAATATTCCAATCGGGATGAAAAGCAGCCGGGCCGCCGTTGAAAAGCAAATCTGATGATTCATCAGAAAAAGCAGCTGATATATGGCGAGAGAGTGGAGCGCAAACTTTTAAGAGCACCAGCCCGGCCGGCGTGTAATAAAAGTTGTCAATAAGGCGGGCAGCAAAAGTTCCGGCGGATTTTCGTCCGCTGAATGCAAATCAAAGAAAGGCACGTACGTTTTGTCTCTCCCCAGACGAGCAGGCGTTTTTATTGTGATATTTTATGGCCGCCAGGTGCCGCTAAAAATGATGAATTTCGTCTCGGGGAAAATGTATGTGTGTGTTCAGGAAAATGAAAAGAAGTTTTTCCTTTGTTTTTTATTCCTATATGCAATATCAGCACGTCCTTTTCTCCCTTTTTTGGGGGATGACGTGTGAGATATATATGTGTGTGTGTGTGTGGAAAAAACAAAAGATCTAATATGCGTGCCGCGGCGGACGTGCCGAATTTTCCATCTAACAGAATTTTCTCGCGAATATTAATGTAGCTCAGGCATCGGGAATCGGAGCACATTTCAACTTTGCATCTCACCTCTCTCTCTCTCTCTGCCGGCAAATGGGCAAGTTTCTAACAGGATTATTAAACTTTTGACGAGCAGCATAGTGAGAGAGGAGCAGATAAATTATGCATTCTGCATCTCGGCCATCGGCGGGGTGCATGATACGTATATACGCAGAAAAGCTTTTTACTCTGTTCGGCAGGAAAACGTGCCTTGGGAAGAAAGTTGTCCATTGGTTGTGCAAACGTCTATCGCGAAAGAAGCTTTTATTGTTTGCCAACTTGGAGGCAAAAGTATCAGAAAAGAATAAGACGTATCTGCAGAGGAATTCTTTCCATAAGTCAAACAGTACAAAAGTCGTGACAGGTGCAAACGTTACTGACTTTGCATGAAAATAACAGCAGTCAGTAAATTGACTTGATGTGCAGAGTAACTTACTTTTTTTTTTAATTTTGTGTGTAAATTATTTTAACATTTATTATTATTGCATGGTCTAGTCATAAGACAGTATTATGTGAATTTAATGTAATGAATTTAATTCGAGCGTGTGTTGGAAGCTCCGTAAAAAAATAAATTTGATTCACTGTTCGCAAAAGTTTATTTGTTCCAAATGTATGAATTTTAATTTTTTAATTTACTTCTTCTGTAAAACATGAAAACGTGTTATAATTTCATCACATTAGATCTAGTTTAATTGATTGTTAGAATAAACAATTGAAACACCGTACTTTATTGTTATTGATAATATACATTGAATCAAATTTAAGGTGTTATAGTTGCATAATATTATATTTTTCTAATATAAAAATTTAAAAAATCTTAAAAAATATATACAAAATGTTAAGAATAAAATACAAACAATAGATAATTTAAAAATACGTTTTTCTTATGTTTATAAAATTTAAACATTCTTTAGTTTGATTAATTAACCTTGCAATTAGGATTTAGGTAAGTCAATTTAGAATAATGAGCAGCGTCAATTTGCTTAGCATTTGCATTGTCCAACGATTAACACGTCAACTAATGGCCTTTCGGCCATAGTTTGCTTTTCTTGCAAATAGAGACACATCGTCATCGCTCTCGTACCAAACCAAACCAAACAGCGCGGCAGTTTTGCGTTTTGCCCGGGCGACCGTTCGACTTCTACGGGCATTGTTTATTCAGCACTGCTTCATGCTTGGCTAATTACTCTGTTGTTTGCACGTAGAGAGACGACGGCAGTTTCATCAGTTTAGCTGCTTGACAAAATGCAATATACGCGCGGCGTGCGCGGGATAATGAATGGGCCCGTCCGAGCGAGCATTATCTGTTTGAATTATCCGTCGGCCAGCAAGTTACATCACCCAGTCACGAGAGCTTACTTTGCGCCGTCTCTGAAATATAATTAACAATTAGCAGGCGTACGTGTGTAGGCATATTATCCGCACACACACATACACCATCGGCCGGGGCAATGACAAAACGAATGCATTAGCAGCGGTTGTTTATGAACTACTATGGCAAATTATCCGCCGTGTTGTGGCGAGCCGTCCCTGTTTCCATTTTGCGTTTTGCTGCAAATATGTGTGTGTGGGCAGACGTGAAGTGCAAAAAAAGCAATGTTGATTACTTTGAAATGGGCTCATAACCAACATGCATGTTCTGCCACACACTGCGCTGATGGATAATGGACATTTGTTAAGCCTCGAATTTTTTATTATTTGCTATTATTTAATTCTATTCTGCGAAATGTTGTTTTCAAATTAAAAAAATTGCCTCGGATGCAAAGTTTTTGATTATAAACTTACTTTAAGATTGAAAGTATTTTTGATTACTTTCGGCGACAAAAAACTCAACAACTTTTAAAATCCATTTTGCTTGGGATGCAAAAATTGATTACACAAAACAAAGTTGCAGTATAAGATAAAAAAAAATACATATAACCAGAGAAAACAACCGTGGTGTCAAATTAAATGATAACTTGAGGCAATACAAAATTTACAGCCTGAATACAAATTTATTTTGTTTTGTTTTGTTATATTTTTCGTCTTTGTAAGTAAGAAACTAATATAAAAATTTCAATGAGTTATTTTCATTCATTAATTATTTAAATAATTATTTTTTAATTTAAAATAAATCTTTAATTAATAAATAATAATAAAAAATTTCCACAATCGCTTAAAATAAAAGCTTATTTTATTATTATAAGAAGTAATTTCTTTTGCATTTAATTTATCATGTATCACAGAGTCTATTGCCGCCTTTAATTAAAGATATGTTATTTTGCAATCAAACTTATCAACTACTTCTCACAATTTCGTGCATTATAATTTCCTCGACACTCCACTTTCAATATCGAAACGTCCTTGTTGTCTCTTTATATGTAATGTATTTGCATAAAATGCATCTCTCGGCGTTCCTCTGCATGCAAATAAATTCAGAGATTCAGTGCTCGATGTTATTGGATGTGTGTGTAATCAAAAGTAATCCCGCCTGCATTTAAATGTTCTACATAACGTGTGCACTCATCCTTCACATCCTTCCATCGGTTCTGATCAATATCAGAGAGAGATGCGGCGGCACAAAACACTCGATTTTTTTCCACATAAAAAAGTGTAAAATGGAGGTGGTGCAATTTCCTCCCAGTGGATGAAAATCGCGACAAAAAATCCGCTCTGATTTATGTTTGCTCGCGCCCGACTAATGATTTACGCCGCTTGGAGGAATTTTAATCGCTTTTGCCGCCGCGCCAATGCAATTTCCCATTTCGATCCCGCGGATCGCTCCCACACCAATAGTTTACTACTTTTTCGAAATGGCTTTCGTTCCACTTTTTCTTGCAGCTCATTATTATGAGCAGCCGAAATTTCGATTCGTCGCTCTTGGTGAGTTATTGAAAGTCTAACCTTTCACACGCACTCTCTGCTCTGATATGTGTGTAATAATTTATCGCGGCGGGCAAATGTGAAACCGATAATATGTATTATGTTGAGTGCTCGGCTGTATAATGTTGTTATTTTTTTCTCCTTCTCTGCAACCACAAACGCGCATTTCAGTCGGCGGGTAATTGACTTAATGCTCACGCCGCATTCCTTTTGATAAAAAAAAAGCGCGCACATGCGATTGAGTGATCGATTCGACCGCGGGCCGAAACTGACGTAAAAATTGATAAATCCGCGGTGACCTACAATTTGACGTTTAGGTGCAAATCAAACAACACGCCCACTGCCATAAATGTGAGTGGTATGCTTGGAATTTAATATCTAGATAAAAGGTTATTTAATAGTCATCATGCTATCAGATGTATTTGAAAAAAGGTGTCCAGTGACACGATTTACAAGAACTTGTCCATGTGATCTTTTTGTAACAACAATAATCTGATGGCAAATAAAAACCATCAAATAAAAAATAATGACAGATGACAGATTGTTTAGCCAATTAAAATATTTAAGCTTTACAATAAAATTTGTAAAATTCTATCGACGAATATGTATTTAAGTTTTCATAATTTAGCATTTTAACAATTAAGACAATCTTTTTTGATTTGAAACAGTGTGAAATTGGAAAGAAGCTTTAAAATAGAGTAAAGAGTGAAGTATTTTTTTAAAATGCCATTAATTCTAATTTAATCTCATGAAAAATGGAAATAAAAAAAATAAGGTATTTATAACTTGAGATTGTACTAAAAATATTAAAGACCTCTCTGATTTTTAAATAAACAAAACCTTTTAACCAGTAGAAGTTTTTTATAAGAGAAGGTTGCAGTTTCTAAATAATTTTTAAGTATTATTAAGAAAAGTAAAATTTGAAATTTTAAAGTATAAAAGAGAAGAGAAATTGTAAACAAAATCCAGAATTTTGTTTCAAAGCAAATATTAAAATAAATATAATATTTTGACTTAAATTTTTTGCAAGTCTCCATAAGACTAATCGAATCAAATGAAACCTTTAATAATTATTGACTTACTTTTTGAGATACCAACATGAATTCATTTCAATTAATTTTATGAAAATAAATTAAACGTTTGTATTATTTTCCTTAAAATATATTTTGATACACATCCTAAATTAATTCATATTTCAACATGTTTATTTGTATTTCCATTTTAAAACTCCAATTTGCATTCCTGCTTACAAACATCTTGCATTTCCCACATAAAATTAATTTCCCTCGCATTTTGAATGTCATAAATCATAAATCATCAATTAGAATTTCAAAATGATGGAAATCGTTGGAGCGTCCTTGACAAATTTGCCAATTCACCGCATATTAGTAAATTTCAAATGCTAATCAAAAGCTGCACAATTGCCGGCGTCGGAATTCTATTCTCCTCTTCCCACGCGCAAATTACTAGACGGGTTTGATGATGAGCAAATCCGTGCTGGCCTCCCTAATTAAAACGCAGCTCAATGTTTTGTTTTTGAAATTATTCAACGAGTTTGTGTGGGTCGGCGCTGATTTATTCGAATAATAACGGAGCATAAGGGCCTGATGAAATTTTTCAGCAATCAACATCGAAATGAAAATTCCTCTGCTCTCATAGCACAATTTTCCTCTTGTGTAATATGTCCAATTATATTTATTTTCAAACGGAAAAAATTAATCATCTGCTCTGATTTAGGTTTAACCACTAAACTTCCAGAGAATTTTGCTCTAATAGGGAATTGATTTATATTAAAAAATACAGAATCCAGATAATTTTGTTTTATTGCCTCCAATGCGTTAGTTTTTATTAATTTTATTTATTATTATTTTTTTTTTGTTAATTTATGGTTTGACAAACTTTTGGCTTTAACTGTATAAAAAAATTTTAAAGAATATCGGTTTTAACAGCAACATGTATAAATTTTAATATTAACAAATACATATAGCCTTTATTTTGCATTCTTTTAACCTTTAAACAAGACAAATGAATAGGAAATAAACTTGTGGCTAGTAAGCAGCGTGACCCAAGTAGGCTCCACACTGGGGGCAGAAGTGGTGCGGCTCTTTGCAGTCATTCCTGCAGTATGGCACCCAGGCAATGAAGCAGCAACTGTAATTAAAACAGATTTGAATAATAATTTTGTTGGCGTAAAAACTTATAAATATTTACGCGCAGCAGAGAAGCGTAGCAATGAAGTGAGTCTTAGCGTTTGGGTGATAATCCACTTTGGTCACCACTTGGTGGTCACAGCTAGGGCAGATGCGCTGGTAAGGCACCGGTGGAAGAGGCTCTAAAATTTTATTAATTCGTTGAATTTTGTTTGTTCTAAAGCGGCAAATTTTTATCTTTTTCTTTTTCATTAAAAAAATGTCTTATTTAAAACTAAAAACGTGATAAGTTTCAATAGAGGTTCCTGTAGATGGTTTTCTGGAACCTTTTGATACTTGATGTGTTCATTTTCAGATGAAATAAAATCCGGCCACCTCTCTGTGAAGATGGGCATCTTTATAGTTACAGAAAATCCCTGAGCAGAAACAATTAAGTTGTTCGTCTTATCCGAGGAAGCAGGATTATGTTTCAATCAAAAATGTGATTATTTGGCTTGATCACTTTTATAACACTTTTTCCTTAATGCGAAAACATATTTGAAAATTCTATTTGATAATTAATTTAATTAATTAATAATGGATAGACTAATTAACATTTTTATTTAAATTACATTGAATAAATATAGCATACGTTACCAGGTTTTTGAATGAATAAGGGCTGGGAAGTGACAACCTTAGGGTGAGGTTCCATTTTGTTCTGAAATTTTTGGATTAATAGATCACTGTAAATCAATCAGATACACAAGTTTGCATAAATAGTTTATCAAAATTTCCTTGCTCTCTTTAAAAACAAGGCATTATACAATAATTTTTAAAGAGGACTGCAAAAAAAACTTTTTCTCTTACTGTAAACTGACCCTTCTCAGAGCCACCCCAGCAAATTAATTGTTCAAACCACTAATTAAAAGTTAGGAGAAATATTCTTACTTTTCGGGGGAGTTGAGAATGTAGTTTAGTTGAGCTGCTCTGGCTGCCAAAACAAATGATAGCCTGCCGTCAATTCTGATTGGATTTATACCAACGAAAAAGATAAGCTATCTTTTTTGCGCACATAATGCACACTCCTAGTGTAAACGTATTATCGATTACGATTACACTAATTTCATGCGAGATTTAATGACGTAAGAACCGCTCGTCTCTATCTTGGACGCAACAAATCAGCCTCTTAAAAAAATTCCCAAAAGTCGTCAAAGTTCTTTAAAGTGTACTCTTTTATTCAATGACAATTGAAAGTTCAAAGGTTATGACGAATCGAAGTTGTAGAGGTGAGAAAGAAGTAAAATTATTTATATTTAAATAAGGAAATTTATATCTAAGAAAGGAAAATGTTTTTTTCGTCTCGTCATTTTCAAATTATAGATAGTCTCAGGGAAAGTAGTTTTAAAGCAAACAATTCTTATACATTGCGTAACATTGCTGTACATTGTATAGCAAGTTTTGTTTTTCAATTCCTTATAGAAATCAATAACCTATGAAGATATGTTAAGTGTATCCTTGCTGATAAGTAATTTTGGCATACTTGGTTTTTTTATGGAAAAACCAAGCATTTTTTTCAAAAGTCATTCCACAAATTAGCATAGCAATAGCTTAAATTTTTAATTAAATTTATTAATAACTAAAATAAATGTTGGCAAAACCAATCGAATGTATACAAAGTTTCTTACTCATTCAGAAATCCAAATAAGGTCTTAAAATAATCCATTTTTTTTTCTTTTTAGAAAATAAATATAAATTTAAGCGTTTACAAGGCTTCTACCAAATTTTTTAACTAAATGACTACATTTGAAAATCGTCAAATTAATTCAATAATTTTGAAGCTAATCAAAATGGTCAAAATTTACAAAAATAGTCCAGGTATATTATAATGAGCAGGGAATTGTAAATATGGTGCTTGAAAAAAGGAAAATATGGGGGAAAATGCCGAGCAGGAAAAGCAAAGCAGCATCTAGTGGTTCGCTTACAGCATATCTCGATAATGCGAATGGCGGCAGGAAAAAAGCAGAAAAGAGTCTTGCTCTCGCTCGAGAGTGTATAATAGCGGGCGGCGGAAAATATGTATATGTGCTTTCGCAACTTTGCATGAGAGCAGCAAGTATAATATTTGCAAAGCTCTTCCCGCTGCTGCTGCTGCTGCTGCGGAGGAATAAATGCCGAGCGCATGTTGCTCAACTTTTCTCTCTTCCTCCATATTTATATTCATGAGACGCGCGCGCGGCGCACGCACTCAAAAGAATCTTTCTTTCTTGCCGTGTGCAGCCATGGGCTCGCTCTTGACTTGCAAAATCCCCTAAATTCGCACATTGCGGATACATCCACCCCCGCGAACACCCACCGCTCGAATGGAATCATTATTTTCTTCTACAAGCGGTTTATGTTGCAAGAGCTTTTCTTCCTTTGTGTGCTGCCAACAAGTGCTGATGGAAATGCAAAGGAGTTTCTGTAAAAAAAAAAAAAAAACTAATGACACACACGAGCTTCCTGTTTTCAAAGATTTTTGAAATTCGATCAGACTAAAGTGATTTGCATAAAAATGCCAATTTTGTGTTATTTTCTCCAAAAAATTAAATAATAATAATAATAATTATAATGAGAATCTATAAGAATACTCCATTCATTGGTAGATCAAATACATTTTTATGAAAATGGAGATTTTTATTTGAAACGGTTAAATAATTTAAAATATATCTTCATAAAAATATTATATATAATTATTGTTTTTCTCCTCTGAAGCCAAGGAATTATACTCAATATTATTTATTTAGAGTTTACTTAAATAAGTTTTGGTATTTTGATCGTCTAAACCTCATTTATTAAATATTGCAGTTGCTGCTTTTATATACCCCTCTTTCTCTTCATTGGACAACATGGGAGAAAATATTTTCATTGTAGTATATTTATTCAGAGATAATAAGGTTTAATTCTTCTCTACAGTAACACTAATTGTAAACAATTTAGTTTACTGGGCAAAGGGTGAAAATGATGCGATGCTAGAGCTTTCTCAAGCAGGGTCTCCCACTAGTGTGTGGCACGTTTTAATAGAACAAGGACTCTTTGCTTGTGTGGCTGAAGTAGAGATATAAAAGTGGGTAAGATGGGCTGCAATGATTCCACAATCAAGTACCTCGCGTGTGTTATATACCTGATTTTTGCTGTGCGTTCCATTTTTTTAAAGGCAGAAAATTATAAAATATTGTTTAGGTTGGCGGATTGTCGATTGCAGGCATCGGAGCAGTTTTCCAATGGAATATTGGTTTTGCATTTAAGGTTTTTCATTTCATTTAATTCTTTAATTGCTTTATTTATTTTGAGTTTGCATTATTCAATTTACTAATAATTACTTATTAAAGTGACAACTCTATTAAGTAAGAAATAATAGAGTAAAATTATAATATTGAAAATACATTAATAAATTATTATTACAAAAATAGGAGCTTCACATGCAACTGATACATAAAATTATAACCCTGTAGGCGATGACGATCCCTGCAATCTTGATGATAATTATCGGAAGCTTAATTTGCATAATTGCCTGTTTCGGATGCTGCGGAGAGATTCCGGTATCGCTAAACATAATGACAACAATTAATTTATACGTATAAAGATTGCTTTTTACTTTCAAAATTAAATTTTACTGTCTTTACAGTGTGCAGTCATCTTGCTGGTTGTTTTTGTTACTCTAATCGTTGGCGGAATTTTGGCACTTCTATGTCAAGATAAATTGGATACGTACCTTAAAAAGTCATTGCGCGATCAGATGAATTTATATGTGCAAGAAGGAAATGAAGCTGAATTCGCTCGGAAATACTGGGACTCGATCCAAATCCAGGTAAAGAAAATGTTCTTTTATTTTACAAGGATTGCTTATTTTGCTGGTATGAAATAATTCTCAGTGTTGTAAAAAAAATATAGGCTAAAAAATATTGTATTTATATACATATTTTTTCCTTAAATCTGTCAAGGCAAACGATTAAACTAAAAATAGTTATGTATTGTGCGGCCCTCAACTTGAGAATTTTGTCACCGACTTACTAAATTTTATGTATTAGAACAACAATTATTGATAAAATGCTATTAGTGTACATAATAATCAAGTCCATGTTTACTCGGCAGTTTGAGTGTTGTGGAGTTGATGGACCCCTTGACTGGACCATGATGACCCCTAAAATACCGTTGCCACCAGCTTCATGTAGTTGCGACGCAATTTTGACCAGTGAATGCGTCGCTGGTGTTTACATAAATGGATGCTTCTCGAAACTAAGCGAGTGGATGAGGATGACTCAAAACATACTTGGTGGTGTTGCTATTGGACTTGCAGTAGTCGAGGTACGGAAAAATTGCTTATCTAATGGAAGGGACGATAGTTAAAAATAAATTATCTCTCTAAATTTTAGTTTATAGCCGTGATCTCCATCCTAGCGATTGCCATCCGTGATAGTTATAACAATATTTAGTACGATATTTTTATTTTGCAATAGGAATAATGACCAGAGATTACTATTTTTGATTTGTATTTAATTAAATCAAAATGAAAGCACGGTTGTAAAGTACCTCCAATAAAGTCTAGATATAATTGGAAATGAGCTTGTTTTTTTTTTATACTAACAATTTTGAAAAGCTGCTTGTTGCAAAAAAAAAAAAATCAAACGAAGCTTAAAATTTTGTTACTTTTGGTTTCTTTTAATTTTACATCTCAAACAAATTAATTTAATTCATTTTATTTTTCATTCAATTGAAAACTTCTATAATTGAATTGGAATTTAATTTTCAAAAAATTGGTCCTATGTACCTAAAAATGTTTGAATTTTACAATATTTATCTTTTTTTAGCTGATTTATAAAGACAGATTTCTCATTTTTAATTAACATTTTTTTTTAAATATTCTAATAATTTGAATTTAACCTTGTGGTCAAATCACTCAAGCAAGTGAGTAATTTTTTAATGCATGTGTCTGAAGGTAAAAGTGGAAAAACTGCGTTTCTCTTTCCGCTCTGCGGGATTTGGGCGCGGGCACGTCCGAGAGTTGCAGAAAAAACACCAAAATCCGGCGGCGACGGCATGTGGGTGTTGACGGTGCGTGTCGCAGAAGAATCAAACGCACACCAGAGTCAAAACACGAAACAAAAGCGGCGTCGGCGGCGTGTGAATGAATTTACATGCCGCGCCGTGTGAATAAATAAATCCACGCACACAGTCACAAACAGCTCGTTTGTTCAGGATGCGCTCACAGGGAGACGGACAGACAACCTTGTTCGAGTTTCGGTTCGGCTGCTGCGGGAACTTTTTTCACTTTTGCTGTGGTTTCGGGTGTGTACTTTGAATTTTTTTTTCGTTTGTCTACGCCGATTCCGGTCGGTTGAGAGAGAAAGCTGAAAAGTTCAAACGGCTTTTGTTTTTCTTTCTCTCGTCTTTCGCCGGCGCGGCAGATGCAAATTTTATGACGTGTGTGAGCTGAAGTAAGAAGTGTGCCCGGCCGGCAATTTTATTCATAAATGATGAAAAATTCTCTCTCTTTTTCGCCGTGTCTTTTTGCTCCCAGACGCGCATACATGAATTTGCAAACAAGAGACGCGCCGAGCAAATTGGGTCGCGCGAAAGAGAGAAGCAGCAAAAAGCGGCGGCCTTTTCGCCGCCGCGTGTCTCTTCCTCGCATCGTGGGCGCATAAAAGCCCAGCTTTTTCCTCTAAAAATCTTTCTTAACAAAATAAAAGTCCTTTTATTTCATGAATGCAAGACGGAAAGAACGCAAGTACACTCAAGAAAGGAAAACATTAACGCAAATTTTGAGGCTTGTTGATTAAATATGTATATTTAAAAAATGTTATTCTTTTCAACAATTTCTTTCATAAAACTCAACAGTCGCAAAGAAACTGAAGCTTGAGGAACATACATTTTAAATCTATATAGCCTTATTGTGGGAAAATTATTAATGTTTAATTCTTACATGTTAAATATCAATTTACAGAACATCGAAATAACTCGATAAATTGGTTTTACTTCTACACAAAAAATTGTATTTTATTTTATTTAATATTTAATCTAAAATATATATAAATACTCCTATTAATCAATTTAAAGAATTTTAATATTTTTAATATCTTTATAAGATTTTTATTGCTATAATCTCAAATTCAGATTTTTAGTTTTTAAAATCATATCAGTTATTGATGATGTGTCTTACTATGTAAAAGAAATAAAAAAGATTTTTATTTTTAATAAATTGTACCTCAATTTTTACATTGTGAAATGCTATAATGTAAGAGAAAATCGATTTCCTACTTCTTGGATACATGTTTTATTTTATTTATTATTTATTTATTTATCATACATTTTATATACAGTCATGAATACACAGCAAAAAACCTTATGTAAAAGTACAGAAAAGCTGAAATACATTTGAAAGAGACACATACCGTTGGGCTTCATATTTAATTAATGTAATGCGTAGTAGTGAATTAATATATCCAATTAATAATTATTGCTGCCTGAGTTCAATTTTATATATTACTTTCAGTTCCGGACCTGTGTTTGCAAACATTTCGGGTTTTAAAAAAATCTTCCACTTATATGTTCGGACACAAGCGTGTGTTGAATTATCAAACTACAAAAGGTGAAGAGACGTGCCTATCCATCATACATTTCATTTATCTCTTGAAAACTCATTCTAATTAATTGCACTCACTTTCGAATAATTTTCACGCTTGTCGCTTTTCTCGTGTGTGTGCAAAACATCTCTCGCCAGGGATTTCAATTTGCTCTCCGCCGTAATCAAACTTTCACATAAATGTGTTACCGCATGGTGTGATACATAATAATAGTAAAGCAGTCCAGCCTGGGATGAAATATTATGTATATTGACGGCGGCAGGTCGAGAGGTCGCCCAACCGACTTTATTCCATTCAGCGACCGGGCATTCAAACACAACTCATTTCATCGACGGCCAGCGCCGATTTTCTGACGGCTTGACACTCCAAGTATTGCACCAATGCTTCAGGAATGTGAACCGAAAGGGGTTTGATTCAATACAGATATATCAATAACAAAGAGCCGATGCATAATAATAGTATTATTTTATAAATACGCTTGATAGCATAATTATTGTATGGCTTGTAAATTTAGCTTTCAATTATGGTAACGCTTTTAAAAAAAATTGTATTTGATGTTTTTGAAAGCGTACTACTATAATATATATTTTTTTATTAAAAAATGTATTAAATTTTCTGTATAAAAATACTATATTTTAATTTTTGTACATTTAACAAAATTATTAATTTTTATTACTTTATATTTTATAGGATTATAAAACATTATTTTTTCATAAATATGTTGTAAATAGTATTTTACCAAAGGAAAAAATTAAATCAAAATATATTTTTTTGGAGCACAATTACGCTGTAAGAATCGATTGATATTACATACTAATACTACTAAATGACTTACTTTTTCTTTCTTATATGACAATTTTTATTTATATTTTATCAATAAAAACTGCATTCATCATTATGATAATAATGAAATTTTTAGCATTGAACTAATTATTTATGTCAAACAATAGCTGTAGCTTTTCTATTGCTCAGCTTCTTGGAATCAGAAGCTTAGTGAGCCTCTCTGGTGCGCATAATATCAGAGGCGAATGGCGTGTGTGTGCAACGTGCATTCACAGCGGGTAATTTATCGCCTTGCATGCTGATTGACCAGCGCACAGCTCGAGCTATCGGCCCGAGTTGCAGCTTGGACGCCATAAATTATCATTCCGGTCGCTGCTGCAGCAAACACAGAGCCATTGTTAATTAATAATTGCAATTGATAAGCGCGACGAATGGGGCCATACGTTACCAATTTGCCACGCTGCACTGACAAATTAATCGCTCTCGATTTTTGGCCCAGCGTAGCGACACAGAGTGTTTAATTGAAAATGACGTGCACAAACAAACGGTACGTGCACCTGCCAGATGAATTTATTGATTGCGATAAACATGCTGTTAAAGGCTCGAAATACATTTTGACAATATTTATGCATTATTTATTATTTGTGGTTGCCCTTTTAGTAAATAAATTCTATGAAAATTTTAAATAATGTTGATTGATTTACCTGCATTAGGACGAGGAAAATTTTAATTGAAGAAAAATATGTTATTTTATAATCGTGGAAATATTTTTAAATCGCTCCAACATTCATTCTGATTATATTTTATTTCAAAATGAATGCAAGACTTCAAACGAATGATGATTTAAAAAATTTCTGGACTCTCAAGTGAAAGGCGCAGATCATCAAGATTTTTTTCTTGACCTGCGCTGATCTACTAAAAAAATTGAATAAAAGTGCTTTCTATCTTCTGTGTGATAAGGAAATGACTAAATGAATTTGAATTTTTTTCTTCTTAATTTTATATTTCCTCGATTAAAAAAAATCTGAGGCTCACGGCGGCGGTGATCTATGAAAATTATTATTAAGTTATTCTACTGTGATACAAAAAATTTGAAATTAATAAGGAAAATGAGTTTTAAATTGTTTCAGAATATATTAAATGATGTCAAATAAATAATAAATTATCCAAATAATTACAGAAATATGCTAGAAGCAAATAGATTGTGTAAAAGTCTGATTTTTTACATGATATAATACATAACTCATTATTTGATTTTAATCAATAGTTTTTTCATAAAAATAAACGATTTTTTTTTACAATGTTAGCTTTTACCTCCGGGCAAATTTTTGCCGAGTAAATTTTAATATTTAAAATAGTTGCTATCCGTCGACCATTGATTAAATTATAAGTGATTTATTGCCACATACATAATACATTTTTCCTGCTTTTTTTATTTGATTCGGTGCAATGCTCCGAGCAATGGGAAACGTGCGAAATCAAGTGTGGAAATATAATCGCGATATCGCAGAATAAATTGCGCAGCACGCGACTTTTATTTTTCATTATTTATGGTGCTGCACTGATATTCATTCGGCCCGTCACAATCAGCGCTTTTAATAAACGGTGGCGGCGGCGACCGGCGGGTTGCATAAGCGGCAGGGCGGTTGGCCAACTTGCGTTTCGCAATCCGTGTTCGCAGTCCAGATATAATTTACAACCCTTTCTCCCTGGGCTAAAAAGCAGCCCTTTTCCCTGCCAGACAGGGGCCTCGTGTATTGATTCTCTGCGGTTTAAGACGCTGCATGTCCTGCAGATGCCGATTTCTCATGAAGCTTTTACGCTTGTGTGTGTTTCTTCTTTTCCCACCGACCTTTTATCGGTGGCTTGATGAGAGATGAGTAGAAGTGAGTAGTGAGTGCTCCTTGCCTCGAATCCGAGAGAGACGCTGCAAGCAAGAAGTGAAATGCACACCACTTTGCCATTTACAACACCTCACCAGCGATGTTACTTTTGATGGAATGGCATGTTTTTCCATCAAAAATGAAAAGAAAGGAGAATTGCGAGAGAGCAGCGCAGAGTGCATTTAATAGAATCTAGAACATTTTATATAGAACAGGCTTATTTCTCATTTTTTTTTCAGGCTATGTGATTCTGAAAAATGTTTATTTAATTTTTTATAAAAAGTTAATTACGTAATAATATTTTCACAGCTATATTAAATAATATATTTTTATTGCAATACAATATATTTGTTTTTCATAAATAATTTTTTATTTAAATTTACAGAATAATAGCATTTACGATGGATGAAAATATAATCAATTGTGGATAGACAAAATTTATTTACATATTTAACAAATATACAATAAATATATTAATATATATTTTGCAAGAACTTCGTCATGAATCTCTTAATGATTTTCTTCATTACAAGAATTAAATTGCTCTTCTTTTATTGTATAATTCTTCTCCACACAAATATATTAAACACGTTGAAATTTACTTTAAATGATAAATATGTGATATTCAAACATACAGTGTAGCTGTAATTTAATTTATTTGTCTACCTATGCGGTGTGCACTAGTGTACTTTATTTAAACATAAATCTTTCCTCAACTCACTGAGATTCAACATTTGCCTCGTTCTCATTTGCCTCGGCACGACAGCTGCATGTGTTCTTTGAGTTTGCACGAGATGAAAGGCTTTTCCAGCAGCGAAGCTGACGCATCATCATCGCTCTTCTCTCGGCTTAGCATATATTTTATTCATCGTCGGCATCACCGCCGCGCGCGACGTTTGGTAGTGAAGTGCATTTTCAATTTTCACATGCAGAGAGTCGGTTGCAGCTGCATTAATTTGCTCTTTCGCAAACGAGCGTCCCAGGAGAGTTGCTTGATTGCCGCGGCGGAAAAAAAGAAACAAACGAGGGGCGCGCCGTGGAGAGTTGACCCAGGTCAAGAGGTTACAAAGACGCGCTGTTTACAATCGGCTCGTCTCGGTGGTTAATGCACTCTTGGGAGCCGTATATGCCAGGCTGTGTGTACGGAATAGCGTGTGTGTGCACCGTGCGCCCAACACAACTTTGCAGCTGCACTTTCCGAAGACCTATTGCACAAACTAAGTTTAAGACGGGGGCAGTGAGAAAATGGGAATCAAGAAGGGAAATTCAAATTCAATGAATAAATTTAAAAAAAAAAATTGAAAATTTGATAATTTCCTGCAAATGTGAAAGTTTTTCCAAGATTAATAGGCAAAACAAAGTTCTAAATTCTGGTCGTTCAATCGTTAATAGGCATTCATAAAAAATTGCAGTATATGCTTTGGAATACAAAAGTAAACTCGGTATGTGATACTGAACAATAATTTTTTTTTATCCGTACATATCATTTACAAAAACTTAAGATTTCAAATGTATTTTAAATTTTGTTGTTCTAGCTATTTTACTATTACATATGTTTAACGTTTAAAAATTTAAGAAAATCTACATAATTTTAGACACTTTAATACATTTTAAAAATTATATTAAATAAATTTATAATTTAGACCATTACACAAAACATTTCTTTAGAGGAATAATACAAAATTTAAGTGCGATAGCAATGCAAAAAGACATTTTATAAATCATGAATCATGAAATTCTACATTTTGAACATCTTGAACATCTTGCTAAAATTTTTAATTCATTTGATAAAAAAAATAGTAGGTAATTGTGACGTGACCAGTCTGATTTTCTTGGTGGAATAAAATTACTATAAATAAGAAAGTCTAAATTCATTTGTTCAATATCAAATTTAAAGCAGCATCTTCCGTAATTTTTCTTCGTCCATTTATCACTGCCCTTCAATAATATAAAATCTCTCCAGCGCACCTTCTCGGCCGCATTGCCGGTCGATCTCTTACCTGAAGTTAAAGCATTATTTATATGGCTGGCGCGATGCATCTTCTATTAATGTTTCCCGGGAAACGACGCTCCTTTTACTCTCGAGATCCGCAGCAGCTGATTCGAGCGATGGAGAGAGAAGTGGCCACGGGGATACATACACACATTAAGCAGCTTCTCTCTTTTTCATCTCTCTCTCGCGGTACTGCGCTAAGTGCTGCGGCTTCAATTACTAATGAGAACAAGCTCTATATAAGAGAAGCTGCGTCTCATAATAAATTGCCGGTGGTCCTCCCTGGAGAGAAAAATAAGAGACCTTTTCCTTCGGGACTGTTATCGTAATACATACTCGCAATGCAAAATGCTTATCGGCCACATCGGCGAGGATAAAACTTTACTGCCTCTGGATTTTCTTCTTTTCTTTTTATTCGTTTGCTCGAGGCAGTAAAGTGCAATTGGCGAGTAATGTCTTATTGGAACGGTTTCAAAAGCGGCGGCTTTTCGCTCTTTGTTTCTTTTGCTTATCTCCCGATTCGTCAGTGTGCGAGGAAACTTTCCTCTTTTCCAAATCAGATCCGACTTCCATAGGTGAAGTGCTTAATGCCCACGTCACGTCGTCGCCCGCCCGTTTCATTACTTCTTGGGCAAGCGACGAGGATATTCGGTTACAACGATGGGTGCGCTTCGATAGGCGGCGTCATTAGCAGTCATTATGGCCTGCATTCACTTTCAAACGCGATGGCCTTTTGCGGCGTTTGAGACGTCTATTGTTGTGATTCAATTATTCGCTGATTGGTGCATCACGCCGCTTGCCAAATTTGATCGCAATTCGATTGACCTTTCTTTCTTGGTACATTGTGCGGAAAATTGTAAACAAACCGCGCTTTGCAAGTCGGATTGGAAACGAGAGATAAACATGCATGATTGTATATTTATGTGTTGCAATTTATTTCTGCTGCGCTCTTTTGTTTGCAATGATTACAACTTAACATCATCAAAGACAATTAAGTGATCAAATTCATTGTTAAACGATTACATACCAATTTATTTAATATCTCAATTTAAAACAATGTTTCGTTGTTGAAACATCATAAATTGATATAATTCCTAAAATTATATATAAAAATTTCAAAAAAAACTTGTAGGAAAAATAATTCTAAAATCACCAAATATTATGAATTGTCAACATTGAGAATATTTAGAAGAAAATAGATCTTTGGGCTAAAAAAACTACTTATTTTTCAGATAAAATGATTCAGTTTTTTTTATTAAAAAGTTGAATCACATGAAAAATTTTGATGAAGTTCAACTTTTAAAAATGAGTGGATTTAAATATGATACATTTTCTATTAAATTTCACTTATCATTCAGGATATTTTACAAGTTCATCAAACAGCTTGAGAATATTAATTAAAACAAAATGTTTTTTTTGTCAAATTTTCAAAATATTGTAATTTATGATGCTATCTTGTTCGTCAGATATATTTTTAAAGCTTACTTCATCTTAAAGCATTCCTTTTATTTAATTTTCCTTAAGAATCCGCCCACATGCAGATAAACGACAATTATTTTACATTATCCTTTTCCTTATTGTTGCAGCTCTTCACATACTGGTCGGTGACTCATCAGGTCATTCAGCTTGACTTGGGCTCGGGAATGTGCATTGTCGACGGCTGCCGAGAGCGAAATGAGGCTGCGGAGCGCGATGCAGGCAGGGAGTCTGGGATCGCGAGCACCTAGCCAAAGGTGGAAGGTGTTGGCGATTGAGCCGGTGCATTATTTTTTTTTCGAAAGAGTAGGCAGAACGAAGGAAAAGGTAGAAGGGAGCGCTCTCACTCACATCCTCGGCACCGATCAACAGTCTCGTGCCAGCCGCTCTACCTTCTGCTGCTCCTCCAAAGGATACCGGCGCTCCGAAGAGAAAGAAAGAACCTCTGGCAACAAGAAAAGGTAAGTGAACGAACTCTCTTTCTTCTCTTCTCTTATTAAGGGGAAAGTGGAGCCGGCGGGCAGGGGTCATCCGGGGCAGATCGCGCGTCTCAAATAAGTAGGCAGGGCCTTGCGTGCAGATGAGCCTCGTCGACTTCCTACTTTTTATTCTAGAATTTTTATCGCTGGGCTCGGCGCAATTACTCTCTCAAATGAAAATAATAATAATAAAAAAAAAAGAAACGAGTGGAACGGTTTCTTGCGTTATTATCATGTGATGCTGCAATTGCACACGAGGGGCATTTGTTATTTACGTACTTTTGGCCCTTCACCAACTTGCATAACGGTTGATGTACTGTGAGAGGGAAAAAGTTTCCCGGTTTGCAGATCTTCAGCCAAGTCTTCTTGTGCAATTAAAGTAAACGCCTTTTTTAAGTAATAAAATATTCTTTTTTTTTATAACAAACTAAATTCTTTTATATTATGATATTGTTAATATTTATTTCTTTTTCTATTAAATATTATAGTTATTTTCTCTTTTAAATTAAAATTTTCTTATTCCAAATTTTGAAAACATTAGTTATCCTACTCATTGACTTATAATCTGTAAATTTATTAATTTTGACCATTACCAGCCTTGCATATATTAATTAATAAATTCATATGAAATTAGACCGCATGAAGATTATTGTTAATATTATTATTAGTAAAATATTATTAGTTGATTTTTTTAATCAAGTACAGTATCGGGATACTTCAAGTAGCCTATCTCTGTCTATATTCCAACAAGACCATTATAATTTAAAAATTGTATAAGGCAAACTATAAAAAAGAGGAGCGTAAAAAAAATATACATATATTTATTTTAAAGCTTTTCGAGAAAATCACGGAGTTCTATAAATGTACTCATTCAGTACATTAATCATTGATTTTGAAAAAAAAAATTAATTATTATTAATAATTTTTCAGTTATTGATAATTAATTTTAACAGCAAGAATTGATACATTTTGATTACTGTGCTTTCAATTCTATTCACGATTAGTGGGAAATTTTAATGATAATTTTTTACAAAGTCAGCATCACACTTTGAAACAGACCCTGTGAAAATATTTCAAACATTTGTAACAATTTACAGAACTATTCAATTGAAACAATCAGTTACCAGATCGGGCAAAAAACTCCTACAGAAAAACAATTTATAGCCGTTTATTGCAGCAAGAAGAAATTCTCGGTGCAGCCAGATCGCACCGCGATTCGCGACTGCAATAAATTTCCGCGTGGAATGCAATATAGTCTTACTTAGATCTCTTGTTCGCGCCAACAGGGGTCAACGCGGTTCAAATTGCAACTCTTCCCGTGCATGCATCCACGCGGAAAACCATTTAGTATTATTATATTTATTAAAATATATCTGAACGCACCACGTCTTTCACTCTGCGGGCGCTTCCTTAGTTTCTCTATTTATTACACGCTCTTTGAACAATTATATTGTCTGGCGAGATTCACGTCAGCCCCGCGGCCACAACACTCTAAATTTGGCAAAACTGCTTTCACGTTTGATGGAAAAAAGCAAATTTTAAAACAGTTTTGTTTGCGAACGAAATGAGAAAAGTGGAACGAGAAAAAGAGATGAGCTTTTATATAGAAAGCGCTGGACGAATGCCATCTTTCTAATTCTTACATGAAAATATAAGTATGTTTCTTATCTCTGGGCAATTTCTGTCGATATATAGAGTGGAGCAATAACGTTGCATTTGCATGCCAAGCCGCGTGAATTTTATTATAATACGCGAGCATATCCATCTCTCATGCTCCACATCCACCGCAGCAGGTGCACATAGCTGCGAGATAATGCGATCGAAATAAATTACGGAGAGCAGCAAGAAGTGCACACGCCGTCTTAAGAGAGTACATGTTTGTGTGTTTTGCCAAGCGGCAAAATTATTATATCGCCTCTTAAGTCCTGTAAGATGAACGCGGGCTCAGTTTTGTATACTTACGGACGCCCTTCCTTGTGAAATTTCAATTACGTAATCCATATGCAAGAGAAAGAGGATCTGAAAAGCGATTGAATCACTCGTCTGTGAACGCACTTCCGACATTGCAAATGTGTGTGCCAACTTAAATGCTTTTCACAAAATTTATTTTGTCTTTTTGCAAATGACTATTTTTATACGTTTTGTTAGCTACTTTTATTTTACACGTAATTAATGTTAAATATTTCATAATTTTAAATTTAATAAAAATATTGAATTACTTTATATTACTTTTTTTTATTAATTTTTTTATTAACATTTTTAATTGCTAATTTTTACTCAAATAATATAATTTTGTAACAGTTTGTTACTTTGAATAAAATAAATACTTGCACAAGATCATTAATAGGCAATCGAAGTGTTTGAAGTAATTTGATTAGGTGAGCCTAATTATTTTTTTGTTTTTATAATTCGTCAGAATCCGCAGCTGTATTTCATGAATACGAACTCTATGTTTAGAAGTAGCTAAACAGTTATTTAAAATGTTACAAAGGAAATACAAATTATTCTCCTATCATTTTATAACTATTGATTTTTATATTAATTTCTTAAAATTTATTGATGATGCAAACAATGATCATTCAAATTAATATAAAGCTTTTTTTACCGTATTGAATGTTTCTTTTCTCGTTTTAATAAAGTTCTGTTTTTAAATTAATTTTTACCAATATAATATATTAATTTAAAATGATTAATAAAGAGTGGAATTTCATGAAGATTCAGAAGGTAGAGTCGGTGACGTGACAAGGCACAATTAATTTCGCGTATATTCGAAAATGTTAATGCCCTCTCTCGTCCGTGCGGTCGGCAATTACGGCAGCTTTTTTTTCACTGACCCAATTTCAGCAAAATTCTTCTCGCTCGTAAAAATCGCGAGCGCGAATTTTTCTTTCAACGCCTGCGTTATTTGTTGTGTATATTTCCACGCAGTCGCACACAAATAAACATTTCGCGATGTTTATGTTCTATTCCTGAGAACGAAAGTAAATTTGAAAAGCATGAAATTCGACGAGCTGTGAAAAAAACAAATCTCACAACTCGGTGCACGCAGCTAGGTGTGAAAAGTACATTCACAATTAACGACTTCGCGCATTTCTCTCTAATTAATCGATTTGAATTTTTTGCTTCTCTCCACACAGCTACGATAATTTCCATCGGATCTGTCATTATTAACTCGGAAAGTGAGAGAGATGCTATCTTAATTAACCACTGCCGTCGGTATAATTAGAACGCTCGATTTGTAAGCTTTGCTGTTTTTCCATCCTGAGCAGTAGAAGGAAAAGACTAAAAAAAATTATTATAGAGTGAGAAACTTTTATCGCTCTTTACATGCACATCCAGGTGTGAAACGAGGTTAATTGGAGGAACCCAATTAGTGCCGTGCTTAGAATTTTTGCATAGAGTGTGTTCCGGGAAAATGCATTAAAAAAACCTAATTAAATTCAGTGTAACGAGATGGGGAAATTGCTCGAGGTGCGAAAATAACGAGCTTAACGTCCTTGCCAATTTGTCAAAAGAAGAGAATTTATGCTCGGTTCGTGCCGATGAAAACGTACAAAAAACTTCATACCTACTGCTGAAAAAAGAGAATAAATCCATCATGCGGTTATTCAAATTTTTCTCACCGCGATAAGTCACGGCTCACTGCCAAGGTGAAAACGTCTGTTGAACAAAAAATGCTTCCGTTTTCACACTTTATAATATTATTTCACAATTAAAATGATAAAAATTGAGAATTTCATTCATGAGCCGAATAATATTGGATTTCTCTAGCCATGATTTAAATAAAAATTGACAATGTGCTAATAATAAAATATTCATACTTTTGGCATAATTTAAATTACAAATCTTTATCTTTGATACGGAAATAATTTTGATTGCAAGTAAATTGTAAATTGTTAGCAGACAAAAACATGCTAATTAAATATGATAAGCTTTGAAAATAAATCCGCATGTTGAAATTGCAATCAATCATCAGTTTTAATCCACCAAACCGATTTATATTTCATAATCATTGTTACCTTTCATTAATTGGGATTGCAGAGTTGTATTCATTTTTTATTTTATTAATCCTTACCGCTTCTAATTAATACTCTCTGTGTTGAATCAAAGCAAAGGGTTATTATGTTTTATTTCATTGCTCTCGTTCATAAGCCGATTTCTCGGTTCTCGTCTGACGGTTAATTACTCATTTCTGATAAAAGCTGCAACACAAGAGCAAAGCAATAATGCCCGCATTAAAGCGAGATTGAACTGAAATTGCATTTCTACAAAACCATATCATTGTGGATGTGGATAAATGTTTGATCCTTGTCATTGATAGCAATATCACAGGCTTATACAATATTGCATTCCTTTGTTAGAGAAAAGAGCTATTGTTTACAATAAAAATATGTAAAATTATCAATTAAAAATTATTACTTATGAATAAAAATAATTTTTTTTTTTAAATTAAATTTATATTATTATTTTTATGCGGACTTAGCATATAGAAAAATTTTATTTATCTTAATAATAACCAAAATTTGTATCTAAATAGAAAAATATAACATTAAATGAATCAAATTTATTATGTTTATTTTCCGGAAATTAATAATTTTTTCTTTTAATTTTTATATAAAAAAGATGCCAACAAACGATTAAAAATGATAATAGTTCAAGCGATATGATTCGGAAATTTTTCTTCTTTTTATTTATTTTATTTTTTTTTATTTTATTTTTCTTTTTGGGTCAGGCCAAGACAAAGTCTTGTCGGCCTGTGCCCTTTATTGGTGGTACAGAAGGCACCACCCAATTTATTTTATTATTTTTTATTTTTGTTTTTAGATTCAACTTTATTTAAAAAATGCTTATTACAGTTATTTTACAGTTATTAATATAATTTTCAATTATCTTTCATAGTTTTTACAATCAATTTTTTTACACAAGCATCTCTTCTTCATCTGTATGGCGGTTGAGCAAGTTGTCGCACTAATTTAGAGATC